GAGAGAGAGAGAGAGAGAGAGAGAGAGAGAGAGAGAGAGAGAGAGAGAGAAATGAAGAGAAGGAGGAGGAGAAGAGTGACAGTTATTCTGTCTAGGACAGGGCTTGGCAAACTAAGGCCGTGAATATGGTGCACGGAATGTCTGTTTTTGTTATGGCTCATGAACTAAAAATAATTTTTATATTTCAAATGGTTGAAAAAAAATCTAAAGAAGAATACCATTTCATGAGCAATGAAAACTACATGCAATTAAAAATTCAGTGTCTATAAATAAAGTTATCCCGGCACCCATCTCCAGCCATTAGTTTATACAGTGTCTGTGGCTGTATATCAGCATCAAGGAGAGTTTGGTGACCCCTAATCTAAAGACATACATTCTGTTCCAGTAAAAGAATAGATATGAAGAGTAAGACCTAGTGGGAAAACTTTTCAGTATGACATGGTGTTTGGCCTTGCTCTTGAAGTTGGGCAGGATTCTAATAAGAAGAGATAAGGAGAGGGGCCCCAGACTCAGAGTCGTGTACCCTCATTCACAGATGAGGAGCAGGGAGTTGGGAGGGAGCTGGAGTTTTAGGCCGAGTCTGAGGATTCCTTGCTCCTGCTCTTTCTGACTGTCCCCTTCCTACCTTCAGAAAGCTTTAATGACCAGATAACAGTTATAAAGAAGGTGGATGCCCTGCTAAGGAGGACTTCTTAATTCCATACCTAGCATCCTATCACCTAAAGGTTCGAGGTGGAAACTCCTATGAGACAAGCCAAGTCATCAGATGACTAGGTAGGTGGTGGCGTAATGTGTAGCTTGGACAGAACAGAGAAGCAGAGCAGTTAGGAGACTAAGCACTGAGTCTGGATCTGAGCTAATGAGGGTTTACCTGAAGGAAGAGGCAGGGGCAGGTGGGAGGACTTGAGGAGAAATGGAAGTAGCAGCTCTAAGAGGAATAACTAACTTGATGCAGGAGGTGAAAGGGAAATGTTTTTTAGATATTTGGTCCTGGAACAAAGGAGGACCCCAAGAAGGACGAGGCTGGCTTTGGAAGAATATGAGTTCTACTGTCTGTGCTGCGTGGAGGGTAGAACAGTACCCAGGGAAGAGGGCTAATGACTGAGCTTCCCACAGCGTGGCTGTTTGACCTTACATGGCAGCAGAGAGAAGAGGCAGAACAGAATCCCAGAAAGGACAAAGGGGAGCTGGCTGCCTTTAGGGAAGAAGATGAGATGAGAGCTGGGGCAGATTATAATAAGCTCAGTGGCAAACATATAAGACCCAACAGTAGCAAGTGAGTAAAATGGGTGAGTGGGGCAGTGGGAAAGCAGAGCTCATGCCCCATCCTAAGCAGCAGCAGTGCCTTCATTTTAACCATTGCTGCCAGGAGGGGATGTACATGCATCCTTGCCAGACAAGATGTCTGGAGAGAAAGTGAAAAGTGGGTATTTATGTGCATGTTTTGGATGTTTAAATGTTGGCAAGAAATTCCACTGAAAGAGAAACACCAAAGAAGTCAAACATATTTAAGCTGCCATTTCTTTTAAATCTCTAGATATCACTGAGATGATATCCCGTGTAGTTTATTTTTTTATTTTTTTTCATTGTTTATTGGTACTTTCATACTCTCTCACCAAAGAAGCCTCATAGACTGGAAATCTGTTGGGCATCCTCCCAGTCCCTCTTGAATGAACTGCTTCCTTGAGCTCCTCCTAGCTAGACACCTGCCCATCCTCTGGCTACTGTAGCATGTGTCCAGCACAGCTCCTGTCTGTGGCTGAAACTAGCTGCTTGGATGTTCTATATTCAAGTCATAATAAATAAAGGCAAGAGGAAACAGAAACTCAACCACCCTAGACAGACAATTACAGTGGCTCTGTCTTATGACAATGATAGAATAAAACACAAAAATCTCCTGGCCACTCTGGTTATTCTCCTGGCCCTCAGAAATAACTCAGACAATACACACAGGCAGAGATGACTGGCCAGGCTGGAGAGAACAAATGCGGTGGGTAATCCTAAGATGTTCAAGGGACCGGCATTGGGTCACCATCATCTGGCTGTTGCTAAGCATGTGTCAGGTTTGGACTTTTTCCTGGAAGCCTGCATTACTTCTGCTTACAGGGACTCTGCATCTGGAAGCAGAGCTCTGCCCACAGATATGCATTTAGCAGTTTCTCTGGGTGGCCAAGTAGACCTTGAACAAGACCACTTAATTTTGAAGAACTCACTGAATAATTTTTATTCTTGTTTAGAAGAAGGTAGCTGTATTCAATTCAGCAACATTCAGGAAGCGACTAGTATGTTTTTTGCTGCCCAGATGGGATGAGGAGAAGGTGCAGCCCTCATTTCTCCTCAGAGGACAGGAGAGATACTTGAATGGAGACACAGGGGCTTGTGGAATACAAGACCAGCCCGGACTGGGGAGTTAAGAAGGGTTTCCTGTTGGAGGGCATTAATTGTGGGGTGGAATTGTGGGATGGAATTGTGGGGTGGAGACAAATCCCAACCTTCCAGAAGTGACATCACAGAGCACATTGGTATGGCTCCTTCCTCAGGCTCTTCTAGCATGCCCTGGGCTAAGGCATGCCATCCCCTTGTACCTTCTAATGGCCCTTTAAATGAGTGAGGAAAGGACAAAGTCACTAGCTGCTCCAAGAATAGCAGGAAGTAGAGCCACAAAAATCCTAAAAGACCCAGGAGAGATAATGTGACTAAGAATCAAATAGTCAAGTTTAAGTGTCAATGCAAAGGAATACTGAAAGAAGTATGAAATAATTAGATAGAAACCAAGATAAAAGTTTAGAAGAGAGAATTCAAGTTCGGATGGGAGAATGGTAGGTGGAGTGTTGACAGAGCAATAAATGCTGTGGATTCCTGTGGCCTCACCCCATGGCTTCACCCTGTGGCTGAAGCTCCAGGGGCAAGAAATTAGCAGAGGCACATAGTTTCAGAAAGTCAATCTGCACATATACCAATCACTGTCTTGCTTGAAGATGCAACTAATACTGAGACAAAATTGCTGTCAAAACATGTCTTTATCCTGGTCCAGTGCAAATCCTTTCTATTTTCTAATACCTTTCTCAGCTGTAGATCTGGGCTTCTTTCAAAATCTGACCACAGCATTTCAACCCATTCGTCTGGGAAACTTAGAGTTGATCACAGCCTGGACTTGCCTGGACATGCTAGAGATGGTTGTATGGGATTTTCTGACTCTGTCTTCAGGGCTACCACAATAGTAGCCTGAAACTGGCTACAGCGGAAGTATTTACACCACAGAAATAGGTGAGTGTTACAAATAACCCCCTCTTTGTCACCAATAGGCTGTTGAATTCTTACCAGCACACAGTACACAAATGGGCCTCAGAAGGCATCTCGGGCTCTCTGTTTGGGCAAAGGCATTAAGGATGATCAAGCTGTTATGTTATCAAAACACCTCAGTATTTAAAAGGCTAATCCAATGTTTATGCCTTTGCCCATTCAAAGGGAATCAGAATATTAGGAAGACTGGGGGAGCCATTGATAGGAATTTAAACCCTATGTGGACTTTTTTTTTTTTTAATAGAAAACTCTTTTAGAGAAAGTGATAAAGTCTAATTTTTCCATGTATTTTCTTATTTTCCCCACTCTGATCTGAGAAACTGATGATGCAAACAGACACCACTTACCTGTGGTACTAAGGTTTGGTGTGAAATTAGAAATGCAGAATGCTAAACAATATACATGAGCACTTATAATCAAGTGGACATCTTACAATATGCCAGCTAAGGTGGAACTTGTAACATCTACTCGATGCACCATCCATGCCTCTTCTTCAAAGCCAACTCACCCAGCCCCAGTTTCTGGGCATGCCAGGCTGTCTTGTTCACATTGTGTCCCTTTCCTGGAGTTGCCCTTGAGAACAAAGGAGGCAGCTCAGAGCACATGAATGGCTGATACAAGATGCTAGCATTTTGTCCAGTTTAGAACTTCTCTGAAGAGGCACTCTGATTCCTGAATCCATTTAGGATCAGTCAGTTCTTCAGTTAACAGTTCACTGTGGGTTAGCTCCTTCCCCTCTGTTCAATCCAACCTTTCTTACTTCCTTACAGAGGTATCTACCAGGAGCATTCTTCAGTGAACCTTCAGCTTACAACTGCCTATCTCACTCTGTGTTTCCACGGAACCGAATTTAAGACAAATTTAAATCTTTAGTTTGTCTACCTCAATACCTGATGCATGTCCCTCTCCTCAAGTCATCTCCTTAATCATAGAGGTCCAACTGAGATAGGAGATTTGGGAATGGCAAAAGCTGGCTGGGGAAGTAGGCTGCCCTGTTAACTACAAGATCCTGGACACATGTACCGAACAGTTCCCAAAGCACTGCTTGCAGACTTCTCCTAGGACTTGAACAGATTTTCAGTAGAATGGCCTATTCTGAGATCTGAAGTCAGCCTGAGGCTACGCCTCTCAGGATCTGTATGGAGAAATTCTCTAGGGTTTCCTTGAGATTTGGACAGTATAAAAGAGAGCCTTGAAGAACCAGTGCTATCATAACTTTCCATGATAGCCCATGCTGTGTTTCCCAGACACAAAATATATTTTTTTCCTTGCTCTTACCCTCTTTTTACCTTTATTCAGCCCAAGCTCACTCTGCTGAGTCAATTTCTCTTCCACTCTTCACTTTTACTTTCTCCAATAAATCTTGCCACTTTTTGTTACTCATTTTTATCAGCTCTTTTTTTTTTTTTTTTTTTTT